GTTCAATGGCCGATGTTTCGAGGCGTTCTGATGAAATTTATACTCAACACTTCAACAGTTACAGTTTGATCCTGGAACATACTTCACTTCTGTGACCTATCATACTCTTTCCTGCTAAATAAAGCCTCAGTGGCGACAACTGACAACCTCATACACAAATCTTCTGGTCTTCGCAATGCTCAACACAAGTTGTGCCATTGCTCGTAATTCTGAATGGGAGAATTTTATTTCTTGGGGGAGAAAAAATAGGCTGTATCCTTGTCATTTTAATGACAGAAGAAATCAGCACACAGAGAAGAGCAACCCGCTAAACGAGGAAGGTGATAAGATTGGGGGGTTTGGCGCACCTTGAATGTTGAAAGTTCTGATAAAATCTGTACTCCAAGAAAGAAGGTTTCAATTTTGATAGGACCAGTCTATACCAAGAGAAATAAAGAGCACTTGTGGACGCCCTAAGTGTGAGCAGCCATACGCAATAATTATCATATCATGGTCTTCTGATTATTTCAGCATCTGACGTGAAGAATCAAGCTATCTGTTCTTCGAGCGCTTGTTCAAATTCCAGTGGTCTGATAGTGTTGGTATATTATTGAGAGGCTTTCGATCAGTTAGAGATAAGTGGAAATATCTGGAGAGAGGGTGTATCAAGGAATAATGGTACTGAACATGTAAATTGTGAGGGCCCATGTTGTATATCTGGAGAGAGGGTGTATCAAGGAATAATGGTACCGAACATGTAAATTGTGAGGGCCCATGTTGTTTGAAGAACTTGGAGAAGAGAGATGACGAGGGGAAGACGAAGCAGATTTCTTTATGAAACCTCGACCTGAATACCAAAATATTTTAGCAACCCTTGATATATCGGCACCGCCACAGAAGAGAAACCTCGCTAGAGGAGAACTTGTATCTAATGACTAAAAGGCTATCCTTTCATCTTACTCAGCACCCCTGTAACCCTTTTATTTATAAGAAACATGTTGAATCAATTATCTATAGCGACACCGTGAAACTCACTTCAAAAATCATTATCTACACAGATACACCTCCAACCTGATTCATCTGAAACCCTTCTGTCGTACTACGGGATGGGGCTGAGTGCTTTCTAACTGGCTGGTGCACGCTTTCATTAACTATGAACTAGACAGAAACTTATAGCACAGTGATTGACCCAGTATGGCTCCTATACCGTCCCACTTGCACTTGGCTACAACATATTTAGCCCCAAAAATAAACTAAAATTTTATAGACGCGTGACAGCAACATAAAGATTTACTAATTACTACCATAACAAACTTCAGAAATCGGAAAATAAGTTATCGATAAAAAGAGAGTGAACAGTGCCCTCTTCTTTTCTCTAGATGGACAGTTTAAGCAAAGCTAGTGACTATGAGCGGTGTAGATGCAAAATATATTGACAACCATGGGAGTTTATTTGTTTTTCTGTTTGGATAGTTTTGACGACACCATCCATACCTTAAGAAATCACAATGACAAGTAGCAGCCCTCACAATACCCATAAGCAATTACCGAAGAAGATGGTGCATCATACCCTTCTGAAAGAAACTCAAGAGTAGCTAGCTACAATGAATGGGTTGGGCAAGTAAAGATACAAGAGCACATAATCTTGTTCAATCCAACGAAAGAGAAATTGACAAAGAATACTTTCGAAGTTCATACTCCAGTATCAAAAGAATCACTAAAGAAGCTACCAAAAAAGCAGAGTCATGATTATACCAACACATAATAATCCAACACATCCAAATGCAAACATCGAAAAAGTTACTTTACAAACAGCGTGTCTCTAATAAGATAGCAAATAAAAGCACCTTGAAGAAACATTCAACACTGGAACGAACATATAATTAGAAGCTGACCTTTGCCACAGCAGTTTTAAAATAAAATCCAGGTGATAAACTAGGAGTCCTTCCTTGGTCCATCCTCTAACGCCCTTTATCAAAGGCAATTCTGGTCCTTCCCGAGCCACCTCCTTCATAGTCATCTCTTGAAGACCCTCCGCTAGCTTTCATGGTTCCTCCACCACCAATCTTATCCATAGCCTTCTTTCCTCTCTTCACCTCTGTCAAGAACTGCTCTAAACCGAATGGATCATTCTCCTCCTGCTTATCAAACTCAACCGGCCTCTCTCTCTTACTGCCAGAGGGCCTATCTGAAGCCCCCGTGAATCCCTTATCAGGCTTGAACCTCTCAGTCTTCATGACCTTTTCCAGTTGTTCATCAGCACCTCCATACATATCAGAATCAGCATCTTTCTTAGGCCTATACAGAGTAGATAAAGTAGGCTGGGCAGTGAACAGCCCCTTGTCGTAAACGTTGTATTGATCATCAGCAGCAAATCCAGACTCCATTCCCTTCTCCTGGTTGAAGAGCCTTTGATCATACATAACCTCCCCGGTTCGCCCTGCTCCAGTGCTAGCCATCCCAAGAGCAACCTTCTCACTAACATCTCGGTCTCTGTCCCTTGTAAGCTTGCTCTTCTTTCCCATAGCAGCATCTCTTGCTTCCAACCTCCTCTCCCTCTCCCTCTCCCTCCTCCTCTCCTCACGAAGCTTATCACGCTCCATTCTCTGCTCTCTCTCCTCCCTTGTCTCCCTCCTAGGCTCTGGACGATCAGCGGGCATATCATCATCTATCATATTCTTATCAGCGACTGGAGCAGAAGGAGCTGGTGCAATTCCAGTCCTCTCAGACCTCGCTTTCTGAGCCAAGGCACGAAGCTCCTGTTCCTTCCTGTCCTTCTCTTTCAGCATCAACTCCCTTTGAACCTTTGATCTCATAGCGACAGCCTCCCTAGCCTTCTGCTCCGCAACATACAGAGCTTCTGATAACTTCGCAAAGTTATCATTGATCTGCACCTCCTGAAGCCCTCGCCCATCAGCGGCAAGTCTCTTATCAAGAGGAATTGTGTAACCCTTTGGATTCTTCCAATTAGAAATACACGGAGGGATCTTCCAGTCTTGCTGATCTTTCACGGTTACAGGCCTCGGTGGTGAATGCATAACAGGCACAGGAGGCGACCCTGATGCCTTTGGAACTCTCTTATGCTTGAACTTAGGTGGCTCTAAAGGGTCCACGGGCATTTCAACCATACGAATAATCCTCTCCTGTGCACCCGAATTAAATGCTGCAGATTGTTGTGACGGCTTGTATTTAATAAACTTAGACTCTGACGACTGGGTCGGCACATTTTTGGGCTGAGCTGCACTCAGCTTAACATTAACAATCTTTTCCAAAGCTTCCTTTGTCCTCTGGGTTGATTCCTCAATCTCCTTCTGCAACTCCTCGGATTGTTGCTCTTCTTCAGAGACTACTTTAGGGACCAAATCCTTGTGCTGAGAGTAAACAATCTTTGATGCATTCTCATTTAGCTTGACAATTGCATCAAAGGCTACCTTCCCTTGGGAATCCACTGTCAAAGGTAATATCTTAGACCCCGGTTTTTGGTCCTTGCGGCCCATATCAAGAGGGTATTGGGCAACATGGATTTCTGGGAAGGCACCACCATCGCCGTAGTCTTCGACCTTTCTTGGAATGAAGCCCGACCGCTTGCCATAAGGTGGGACCGGATTGGGTTTGAATGCTGGGGTTTTAGAGGAGTCGGAGGAAGATGAAGAGTAGCGCTCTTTGAACCATGTGTCTCTCGTGTGATCATAGAAAGAGGAGGAAGTGGATTTGGGCGCAGGGAGGAGATCTTTGAGTGCGGCCATCGCTGGAACGGTACCTACAAAAAAGAAACAAACATAAAAAGGCAGTCAGTTCTTAAGACTCTCATGTGTTGCATTAGGAAATTTATTAATTTAGAATCAAAGAATTGCTCGGCATCAAAAAGACTGAGCTTTATGTTTGCTCAACGACATTCGTGCATAATAACTTGTAAATGAAGCAGTAAACTAATCCCCTTAATCGTTTTTCCCTCTCCAAAATAAAGAAACTCAATAATAGATAGCCTATTTCAGCTCTTTCATGCATATTTACCACCTATTCCCGTTTTCCTAATTATTGATATGAACAACACATATACACTTGCCAACACAGAGTCACCAAAGTAAAAAAATCTGGAAAAAGTAAGTTTTTTCTTAAAAATTAAGAGAACAAAACCCCAGAACAAAGGCAAATCCCCGATAGAGTTCATATATTTTCTTAAAGAATATAAGCGGACAAAACGATGCCCCAAGTTCCCAAGAAGAAATTTCAACATCCAAACGAAACCAAAGGGGAAATTGTATTTTTAAGGCAAATTAAAGTTTCCAGATGTCACAAGCATCAATCGATACCACAAATAGATAACTTCGAATCAATTAGTTGCATCCCCAATTGAACAAAGACAATACCAGATCCTTAACAACAAAACCTCAATCATCGATAAAACATAGATATATAAATTAAAATACAGAACTTGAACAAGGAATATGATCACCTTTGAATCAAAGAGCAGCCTCCAATTTGACCAGCCAATAGCTAGGGTTAGGGTTTGATTATTCTCCAACGAGATCACGTTTCTGATCAACTGTGGATGATCGGAAAGAGATTTGGCGGGTGGAGGATTTGCAATAGAGATTGGATGATCGAGAGAAAGGTAAAAAGGGGCTCTAGGGCTTTTTGGAGCTGTGGGCTTCTTCAGGGATTTGGGGGCTGCTATTTTTGTAATATAGCAGTGGATCGCATGCCGACCTGGATTCGAGTTCGGTTTATATGGTGCTATTCCTACTCGTATTCGAATCCGGATCCAACAGTAATACAAAAAATCGAATTCGCTTCGTTCGATATGTGTTCGCTAATAATTCGAAAATCCTAAAAAAAATATATAATCAGTGAACAAAAGGGTTTTTTTACCTTTCCAGTGAGAAAAGCAGAGAACCACGGCACAAAATCTCCAAGATCTGCAGAGATCGAGGGAAGTGGGCGTCGTCGCGGGGAGGGAGGAGGGCGTCGTCGGAGAGGGAGGAGGGCGTCGCCGCGGGGACGGGGAGGGAGGACGGCGTCGTCGGCGGGGAGGGAGGAAACCCTAGCTGAGAGAGAGAAATAGGTATTTGGTTGGAGGGGCAAAGTGGAAACTAGTGACGGTGAAAACGTAGTCCCTCTATGTCTATTTATAGATGGGGTATAAGTCAGTAATAAAAAATTTTGATTGGTATTTACAACGAGTTTAATTAATATGATTAACGTATAAAAAGTTATTGAATAGTTAATAATCAGCTAATTGAATTTACCTTTAGTTAAACTCTATTTGTTTATAAGCTGAATACTAAAAAATATTCATTTGGTATTAAATGAACTGTCGGATTGAATATGACCGAATATCTGGACGAATATTAACCGAATTGTTTATTAAATATTTGGTTCGCTTCCACCCTTAATCCTAAATCGGATAGGAGTTTAAGACGGTTCAGGTTTGGATTGGTTTTACCCGGTTTGTGATTGCATAATTGATTTTGAGGCTATTTAGGGCCTGCTTATTTTTTGGGTAAAATAGTCATCATGTAGCAAAAGTAAAGAAAACAAAAGTCATTTCTATTACTTTCAAATAAAAAGGTATGTTTATTTCTCTAAAAGAGCTATTTCTAATAGTTTTTTAAATGCTAAAGTGACACTTATGTCGCATCTCTATTTTCTAAATTTTTTTCTATTTTTAAGAGCCAGAAGTAGCTGAAACATGAGTCAATTTAGAAATTATTTTTTGTAATATATGAGATATTATTCATTTCTAAATAAAAATCCAAAGAGATAATCATTCTCTCTTCCTAATAACATTTATAATGGCTACATGAAAAAAGTTAATGAAGTGTGTTGACGCTCGTCTAGTAGGTCGAACAACCGATAG